AGCAAAACCAACAATGATTATGGGGGTTATAACATAGGTGTGTAGCTGGACGAAACATAGATGTCGAACCCCCGCAGACGATTTAAATACCTGACGAAACATACACGTCAAACCATGCTGAATGGTTAAATAAACCAATTAACAATCTGAACGGCATCTTCAGTAGCAAAACACTTTACAATATATAAGAGGGACCTACCGTGACAGCAAACTGCTCTGCCTCAGTAAGGTCGCTGTAATTGTTGCGAAAAGCCTCCAGTTTCTTCAGCTGATCAGGTGGAGGGAAGTAAAGTATGAGTTGCTGAAGAACATTGTCTGTTATTACACTGTCATCACAACGCAGGATACACTTCCTCACATCAGCATAGCTCATGTGCTTTAGTGATCCTCCAAGCAGGATTGAAATGCTTTGTGCTGCCTTACCATCAAGTACCTTCAGATCTTTCACCTTCTTCATAGTGCCAGCCCTGCAACCAGAAAAGGTAGTAAATATCATCCAACAGCATGTGGTTTGTACCAAATTTCAAGGGCAGTGAAATATCATTAGACTCCGCTAATCATGTCATCCTAAATTCCTGCAGTTTATTCCATTTGCATTTAATGAGGCTGATTACTGAAACGTGGCAAAATAATGATTACATTAGTGCTGCAGGAAAAGTCGGCATCCAAAGACTATCCAACCAAAGGCTTGAAGGGAAGCAGTATTACTACTGAACTTGCCATTTATAGGCTATTTACCAACAGGATGGAATTCTTACTTTCAAGTAATACATGAACAGAACCAAAAGGTCTTGCATAAATTGAACATTATAAATCGAAACTAAAAATCCATCTACTGTTTTATTAGCAGCAGAAGATTGCTTCCAAGATAACAGCATAAACTTGTGACTCACTTATCTACATCATCATCTATCTTCTTTGCAGGAGGCTTGGATGAGAATTTTTGAGCTAGTCCATTAAGAATGTCTGGTGAAGCAAGTTTCTCCTCTTGAACCTTCACCCAAAATGATTTTTCTGACAATTTCTGGGGTAAGATCTGTAGACCAAATCCACAGGAAATATTTTTATAAATGTTTACACACACACACACACACACATTCTTATTATTGCACTGAATACAATTCATGAAAAATATGAGAATTAGATACAAATTCTTCTGCAAAGACTAGAAACAGGTACTAATAAAATTTTGACCTCAACCAACCATAAATGAGTAAAAATTTTGGGGGACAAGACGAATAAATTTCAGAATCAATATAAAAGATCAATTTTGTTCTCATTTTCTGAAAATTCTTGAAAACAGCCAAAGAAATCACATTCATTGGAGACACTGTACTTGTATGCTGTTAGTCAAAATGCTATGCAGAAAGAAGAAAGAAAGATGATGAGTATCTAACAAAGATAAAAAAAAAACCTGCAACTAAAGAACACATTCATTCATTCATTCATTATTTTGAAATATTATGTGAGAATTCATATACATTCAGCTCTCGATTATCCAGGATAATGGTGGGGATGGAAATCACGATTAATCGAAAACCTGGTTAAGACAAATTTTATTCAAAGTAGCACCGTAATACTGTACCTTCATAATACTATAGGCCTATCTGTATTTAAATTAATTCAACCTTATTTTTATGTCATCTCATGGCCTATTTAATACTTTTTTTACATTACACTGAAGTATGAATTAGTTATTTCAATTACAGCGTTCAACAACACCCAACACTTTTTACGAATATTCACACTTAACACTTAAAAAAATTTAATACTGTTGTTTGCTTTTTTGTGGCATTTTCTTTTTTATGGATATCCGTACGAAGCCTATGTAATATTAGCTTGTCATTTCATAAACTGTTCTCTTCACTCTCAAGATAGTCTAGTAAGGATTCCAAATGATTAAGAGCAGCACCATGTGATATTTTCTTACTAGCAACACTGTCCACCTCTTCCTCATTCTCACTTTCTTCTAGCTCTTCTGGCTCCACCCCCACCAAACTTACAATTTTGTCACCGCTTAACATTTCGAAGCCCGGCTCACATGAGTCACAGTCAAACCACTCTCTTATATTTTCCTTGTTGACTTCTTCACCACCATGAACTTAGTTAGCCAATTTTGTCAATTCTATGGCTATCTCATTTAACTGAATCCAGTGAATCCATGGATTTCGTCATCTTCATTAGTGATGAAAGGCATCAATTTCTTCCATGAATTTTTCAATACAGATGGCTTTACTGTATCCCACGCTGTTGAAATCTCGTATATGGCAAGTAATATTGAAAAAGACTTCCAGAAACACGTCAGATCTTCATCAATGTACTTTTGTAGCAAATTTGATCTGTAGATTCTCTTCATACTTGAGATAACTCTTTGATCCATTGGTTGGATAAGTGCGGTAACATTAGCGGGAAAATATTTCACAAAAATATTTCCATCATCTGACCTCAGGAGACTTTCGTTAGGATGTGAGGGCGCATTGTCAATGAGGAACACAGCTTTCTCAGGTAGGCCTTGGGATTTTAGATGGTCACGAACTTGAGGCACAAATTTAAAATCAAACCATTCTTTAAATATCACTCTACTCATCCAAGCTCCTTTCTGATTAAAATAATGGATAGGGTGATTTGAAGCTACTGTTTCTTTAAAAGAGAGTGGTTTTTGCTTTGCCGATAACTACTGGTGTTAGTTTGTGTGTTCCTGATGCATTAGAACAGCACAAGGCTGTCAATCTCTCATTACTGGATTTGTGACCTGGAGCCTGTCTTTCATTTTGAAATGCCAAAGTTCTGGTTGGAAAGCATTTCCAATAAAGACCTGTTTCATCGGCATTATAGATTTGTTCTGGCAGCAGATTTTCACTTTCCATGAAACTATCAAAATTGGTGCAAAATTGAACTGATGATGACAAGTCCCCTGACAATTTCTCACCTTGAATACTAATTTCTTGTATTCCATGACGCTGCTTGAAATGTGTTAGCCAACCGGAAGAAGCGTTGAAACTTCCTTGTAGTTCAAGTGCTTTGGAAAAAAAAAAATTCGCTTGTTTAGCACAAACTGCTCCTGTTATTGTTGTTCCCTGTGCCCTTAGTTGATTAAACCAGATCAGTATTGCTTTGTCAAGATCATCATATGTTGATTTTTTCATGGTTTTTCTCTTCTTCATTCTGCTTGAATTAGAAGACGAAGCAAAGGAAATTAATTGATTCTTTTCTCTTTCAAATCACGAACAGTTTGTTCTCCAATACCATATTGAATTGCTAATTGTTTAACTACACCTCTTTTTCCCAACTGATTGGTAATTTCAAGTTTCTGTTGAATACTTAACACAACACGCTTCCTTTTACACCCTGACATTTTGCTGGGCGGTGTATCTGTCCTTGAAACTTTCCGCAAATCCTTGCATTCTTTCACCCCTACCCTAGAACATTGTGTTAGCATAACGGGACCAAAAATTGTAGAGCTCGGTTCACACTGGTGCGAAAATAGTGTTACAACTCAGCATGTGAAACAAAAGTGAATGAATATTAAACAACATATAAGCCTTAAAAAGCCCTGGTTAAGCCACAAACCAGTTTATCCGCCCCCGGATAATTGAGAGTTGAGTGTAGATACAGAAATTAATTCCATTTCTGCATTAAAAGTGTCATAAGACAGAGAAGTTGGGTAGAAATACAAACACAGCACATACAAGTATAAAACAATATCACTTGACATCATGAAGTACTCACTGCCTTCCAGTTGGCTCGTTTCAGGGGGCCTTCCACCTCCCACTTCTTCTTTGGTTTCAGTCCATGGGGCAAAATATCAGGTTTTGGAGCAGATGGCATGGCAAATCCTGGAGGTGGTGGTGGACCCATACCAGGTAAGGGTGGGGGTGGTGGACCTCCCATACCAGGCATAGGGGGAGGTGGGGGTCCACCCATACCAGGGAATGGAGGTGGTGGAGGACCTCCCATCCCTGGCATTGGTGGAGGTGGTGGGCCTCCACCTGGCATTGGTGGAGGTGGTGGTCCTGCCATACCAGGCATAGGAGGTGGCGGTGGCCCTCCACCTCCTGGCATAGGTGGGGGGAGTGGTCCCCCACTGACCTGTAAGTCATATAAAATATAAACTTCATGCATTCATTGAATCACAAGGTTTATATAATGTTAGCTGCTGATGTGAAGAATTTCGCTTTTGTCATTTCAAAATTAAAGGAATTCAAAAGAATTAGAATAGAGATCACAATTTAAAACTTTGCATGAGGAGGTGAAGTCTTAACACATGACTGTGGATTAAAAACAAGACTCTTCTACAATCTGAAACTGACCATGTGACAGAGGTAAGGTGTCGAAAACCTACATCAAGGCACTGTGGAAAATATTAAAGTTGGTCACATGCTTCAGAGGAAATGCCAGATTAGTAAAAACCACTGGTATAAAACAAAAGTGTCTGGGGAAAAACCCATTTAACTGCTGCACCACCACATTGCTCTGGACTGAACACATATCGTAATTACTTGCTTATGTATAATGCCATCACATAAATCATATACTCTCTTTCTTTGCTGTAAAATACAGAAGAAATGAATCCCCAAACATTTCACCCATTTCATTTAATATATTGAAGATTATTCCCATGAAAAATACTATGACAGAGAATTTCCAATTCATTGGGCTGGATTGTCAGTTGTACATATCGAATTACACAGACTGGAATTTCCCAGTAGTGTCATCCAGAGAGTTGAGTTACACATGTTAGTTGTCTTAATTTAGAGAAACGTTTTTAAAAAGTGAGTTCTATGTTTGGTCAAACATCATGTAAACTGAGGGTAACGTTCAAATTATACACCAGGCTTTAGAGTGAAAATAACTGAATACTCTCCAAACTGGTAACTATGATTTACAATTTAACATCCATGTATTTATCATCCATCAGATGATTTACAATGTCATATGAACTGCAACCAACTTTAATTTTTGTGTCTGACATGGCTAGAGTGAAATTGCACAAATGACAAAAACAGCTGCTATGGAATGTAGCAAAATTCAACAAAGGAATAACAAGTTATGGAAAGAATTAAGCTATTTTTGACCAAGGGTTTATGTTATAGCTGTTTCTGGACATGGCATTCACAGATTCACCTCAGCACCCCTGCAGCATCCAGTAATATTGTGTAGTTCTTAAATCTACAGAATGTTCGGATGAAAGGTATTCAAAATAAAATCATTATATCTCAGAAAGAATTTATATATATATATATTAACGGGTTAAATCATTATGAAGGGAAACTATCAAAGTTCTTTTCTGCGCATATAACTTTCACAATAAATTTAAATGTGGGCTCCTTTGGTGGCACGACAAATATCCATACTTGAAGCATGTTTGGTGTTACCATAGCCACAGTGTCCCTTATGTGGGCTTTCAGGTATTGAAGGTCGCTGATCTTAACCTGTGGCAGCATATGCGCATAAGCCGGGTACGAAAAAAAAAAACTTTCAGAGCTTTGCTTTCCAATGACATAAACCGGATACATGTATGACAATTAGTTTCCGAGATATACATTTTTTATTTTGGATACCTTTCATCTGGACACCCCATATTTTCAGCATTTGTGGTCAAAGTCTGGAAATCTCTCTCCTAATGAATACACCGGATTAAACAGATAGTAACATAACATTTTTAACCAAGAAAGTTTCCGCCACCCAAACTTCCAACCACTGTCCAGAGTAGCTACCCCAAGCCTGGCCCTTATGGATTGAATGAAAAAAAAATGACTCTGCTTCTAATGTAGTATAACTCCATACACTCAGCATTTTTGAGGAAGTACATTCCTTCTCCAGTGGGAACTGGTAATTGCATGACTGCCAATTTCACAAATCCTCATGAAACTCATGCATTCAAATAATCAATCATTAAAACTTGGACTTGAATGTGTGAATTACATGAGTAAATACATTATTCTGTTCATAACATTTATGACCAACACTTTCTACCCCAAAGCTGTACACATACCTAATCTACTAAAACATTAACATTTTAAAGAATGTTCATAATGAACTGACAATTTGAGCAATACCTGCCTACCTTGCCACTTCTAGGCAGCTGCTCCAGCTCAAATATCTTTTTCTCAGCATGGGCAAGTTTTGCTTCTGTCTCTTGTCTAACTGCAATAGCTTCTTCTAATTTCTGCCTCAGTTCATCCAATTTTCGCTCATCTTCTACACGAGACTTTTCTTTAAGAATAAATTTTGGTCATGTTTATTATAACAGTGCAAAGTGTATATAAATATGGATTCATTCTATTAACAACATTTACATAATAAAAATAAAATATATTTCAAGCAAATGCACTGTATGCAAAACAGCCATGGATAGAATAACAGTCAGTTACAGTTACAACATTCAAGAGGAGCAGCGAGGGGAAAATGTGGAGAAACAGAACAATGACAAATGTCAGATTTGAGGTTCTTACAGTCGTTAGTATGATAAGTACTGTCTTATAGATATTATGCTGTGTATTCTCTTACAAGTTTACCAACATTTTAGAAGAGCATACTGCCTCCATCTTCAGCATTAAAGGTATGCCAAGCAACAAGCAAGCAGGCTTTACTGAAGGAACTAAGTGAAAAACAATATGCGTACAGTCATTTCTTGGTTTACGTGCATTTGATTTACACAATCTCAGTCTAACGTAATTGAAGAACATACACCACTTCTTAATTCACATCACTTTAGTTTTTACATCAACACAATTATGTGATTAGTAACAGGCAACTTCTTAATTCATGTTGTTTTAGTTCTAACTTTAACAAAATTACCCAGTCAGTAACAGGTAACATGATGGATGACTGTGTGGCACTGAAAACAACAGACGTGTATATAGCTGCCTGCAGTGATGGTATAAAATCTGAAATAAAATGATCCTTAAAATAAAATAACAAACTACTAAGCAAAACACTTTATATGAATAAATATCTATAACCCTCCAGAGCCCATGCATGAACTCCAATTTTCCTTCACTTCTTACAGAAAATCTGCTCGATTGTGACGCTTTCCATGAATGCATCTACCGTGCAAATCAAGAAATGACTCTGTGACATACTTTCATATTTTCTCTGCTGTAGAATAGTTCAGAGGTAGCTTTATTTGCAGAACATATTATCCTAAGGCCAAGGCACAGACTGAAATTTTACCAATGACATAATATGTTCCTTTAAATACTTCATGAAATTCACATGAAAAGGCTGTTACTAATGCCTCCAACTTGAGAAAAATGTAATTTTTTATTACTGTAGAAAAAAGAAGTTGTGGTTATTACACACTGTGGCATGTAGATCCACTGCTAGGCAATGACCATGAAACAAGCAACTACCCAACAGCCACTGCTAAGTAATGACAACGCAAACAAGCATGTTTCCATGGCAATGACAGAACCCAGCATTAACTGAAAAGACGTTTTCTATGCAGTCTGTGCCAAGGTGTATAACCAGGACCAGTAAGTAGCACATGAAGGTGGGGTCAAATACCTCCACTGTAGCCCTGTGAGTCACTGGAGGCAATGAAAAGGGAACCCAGTGCGTGGTGGTATAACTGGGCCACCCTGTTCCTGGGGGATATAAATATGGGGAACTGGCCCTTCAGGTTGGTGGAGTCTCATATCTGAGAGAGTAAAATGTAGTCATGAGTCCCACAGGACTTGAACCTGAGAATGACTGCGCTGGCAAGGACCAGCAGAAATTGTAAATGACAGACCCAGCCTCTCGTCAGAGAAGATGCGCCCCCATCAACAAACCGCAACTGTCTGACATTAATAAAAATTTGGTCTTGGGCTGCAGATGGGTGTCTGACACCAAGACAGACTGGACGACTGACTATTGGTCATAACATAACTCTGACTTTGACACTGAGTTAAAGTTAGTTAGAGAACTACTGGGGGTTCAGTCACTGTAAGCTGTTACTGTTAGAAGCTGGTAGCTGAGGCCAGGGAAATTTCAAGAACCCAGAGGAAGGGGATCATTGACAGTTGATAGCTGCTACAAAGCAAAGGCAGTGAAGATGTGACTGTAGACACTAGTGTGTGCATGTTGTGTGCGCACGCATGTGCATGCGTGTGTAATAGCAAACAGTAAAATGTGGTCACACACTGTATTGAAGTGTGCAATATATCGAGTCATCAATCAAAAACCTGTCTATATGAGTTGCAATTGGGAAGTTCCTGGACTTTTATTGTTGTAACTGCATCAGTGAAAGATGAGAGGGGAGGCCATGGGCACACTTCCGAAAGCCTATTGCATCACTATGCCACGTGACACCACGCTGTGAACATGCACTGTTTTTGCACAAGTGCTCTTTCAGCTTCTTGTTTCGTTTTGTCTGTGATGAGCCGCAAAACTGAGTAACGTGTATGCTTCAACTTTTGTGTAAAGCTTGGTAAATCAGCTACCAAAAGCCTTGATATGCTTTGTGAGGCTTTTGGAGAACATTCTCTAAGCTGGACAGTGGTTTTTGAATGGCATTCATGTTCCAAGGCTGGTCGAGTGTCAGTTGAAGATGATGAATTTTCAAGGGGACCAAGCACCATCAAAACAGTAGAAAATGTTGAAAAAATCTGAGAACTCATCTGCAAAGACCATTCCCAAAAAAATCCATGAGCTCAAAGGCAACCCTGGGATCAGTTATGGTGTTTGCCAGGAGGTCTTAACAGAAAATTTGAAAATGTGCCGCATTGCTGCAAAGTTTGTTCCCTGACTCTAACAAATGATTAAAAGCAGGGGTAGGCTAACGAGGACCCAATTTTTATCCCTAGGATCATTAGGGGTGGCAAAAGTTGGATTTTTGGTTATGATCCAGAAACAAAGCAAAAATCGTCATATTGGAAGAGCCCAGAATTACCAAGGGGAAAAAAGGTGCAGCAGGTCTAGAGTTCAACAAAGAGCATGCTCACTGTTTTCCTTTTTGACATGAAGGGGATTGTTCACTGTGAATTTGTTCCTCCTAACACTACAGTCAACTCAGATTATTACTGTGATGTCTTGAGACACTTGAGAAAAAATGTATGATGAAAAAGACCAGAACTTTGGCACAACCACAACTGGCTCCTTTATCATGACAACATGGTTATCATTCCCCATCCTCCCTATTCACTGTACTTAGCCCCTGTGATTTTGCTTTGTTTCACAAATTGGAAATGAAACTGAAGGGACATTCTGAAACAGTGTCTGACATCCAAGGGAAATCTCAAGCGATACTTGACAACATTAAGGAAAATGACTTCCATGGTGCTTTTGAAGTGTGAAAAAACGATGGTGGGGTTGTATACATTCCCAAGGAGACTACTATGAAGGAGACGACAGCAAAATTGAGTAACATAAGCCAGCATTTTTTTTTACCTAGACCAGTAACTTTCCCATACACCTCATACTAGGAATCTATCACGTGAAAATGTCGAACACACTACAAACTATGCTTATTAATTATTCAAGACAGCATTCAGTGTCATACATTTCACTATGTTTCCAGGAAATGTAGAGGTACTGCCCACTACTAAAATTAGATCAATTAATTCCAAATAATAATCTTTCTCTTGTGTAGATGTCTTCTCAAGAATATTTGGACCGAAGAGAGATGACGTGACAGGAGGTTGGAAAAAAACTGCATAATGAGGAGCTTCATAACTTGTACTCTTCTCCAAGTATAATTAGAATGATCAAGTCAAGGAGGATGAGGTGGACAGGGCATGTAGCATGAATGGGGGAGACAAGGAATGCGTATAGGATATCGGTGGGAAAGCCATAAGGAAAGAGGCAACTGGGAAGACCAAGGTGGGTGGACAATATTAAAATGGATCTTGGAGAGACAGGATGGGATTGTATTGATTGGAGTGATCTGGCTCAGGATAGGGACCAATGGAGGGCTCTTGTGAACATGGTAATGAACCTTTGGGTGTGATAAAATGCTGGGAAATTCTTGAGTAGCTGCAGAATTGGTGGCTCCCCCAGAAGGGCTCAGCTCCATGAGTAAGTAAGTAAGCAAGTAAGATGTCTTCTCAAGATACATTACGTGATGACACCTTTTAACTACTGGTGTCATTTAATCTGAAGCTATTTTACAGACTTCATATTTCGGTGGTCAACACTCTTACAAACAATATTAGGGTAGTATACATGTATATCTATTCTTGATACCTTCATAATAAATGAAGCTAATTCTCCAATTAATGTTTACTGTAAAGGTGTCCAACACAGTCACAAGGAGTACACATATTTGTACAAATTTACATTATGTACATGCAACAAGTAAGAAAGTGAAACTGTTTACTGTGAGAACTTAAACTGGAAATATGTGAGGTAATTCTTGTTTTCTCATTCTGCACATTACCACCAATTCTAGCAACTTATAAGTACTGATGTTGGGAACATGGAAGTCACTTTACAGCATTTCTCTTTCACTGTTTGACAGTATTATAACAACATTAGACCATTTATTGAAGTTTTATCAATTTATTCACTTCATTCTTTCCCTGAATTTTACTCCTCAAAATTGTGATTCATGTCAAACACACAGATCCATGAAACATTACACTTATTTGCACAACAAACAGAAATATCCTAGGAAAACAGAACTGACTTCATATGAAAACTTCAGGTAAGTTCAAACAAAAACTGACTTTGTTCCACAAGTACACATACAAAGCTACTGAACAACTCTCAAATATAAGAAGGGATGGACCAAAGATTATTTATGGGCACTGTATCGACAGCAATAATTTAGCATCAAATGATACTGTGGTGTACAGACCCATTGTGAGGTAATGGCCTGTACACATGCAACAGAGTAATGAGTCACATCTGTGATGACATTAAGCAACAGTAGAAGAGGGGCTGCAAGCAGCATTCTCTGTGGGTCCACTCTGATGCTATATGACTTGACCCACTGAGTTCAATTGAGGTAATGGAGTTGAGTACAGTGGAGTGAAGTGAGTTGGTTGAGCAATCAGTTAAAGGGCTGCTGCAGTTCAGTTTTTGTGAGCTACTGCTAGATGCTGGTAGCTGAGGGACAGGGGTAGTTTGGGAGCCCAGAGTAAGGGGAACATCCGCCACTGGAACCAGTAAACAGCTAGTGGAAACTGTAACACACTAAGAACACTAGTCTGTGTGCAAGAGTTATTTGTGAAGTGTAGTAATGAGTTGTATAAGTGTGCAATAAATCTAATTACCAATGCAAACCCTGCCTACAGTCACTTTATCACATGACAACTGGTGTCAGAAGTGGAACTGGACTGATCGAATTAAACCTGCAGAAGATGTTCCAATGGTTCTGGGAAGCCTGCCTAAAGCTCAATGCCAATGCTTTCAGAAGGAAGTGCAGAACCTGGGGCATGCTATTTCACTTCAGGAGATAACCACCAACCCCGAGAAGGTGAAAGCCGTATGGAAATGGTTGACAACGATGAATAAACATGAAATTATAAACTTGTAACACATGGTTTATTCCCGGTTTTCGGTGAACTATTAGCCAAACAAAACTTTGTGTCTGGTAAACATACCCAACACTTACCAACAAGAGTGTCTATGAGTGGCTGCACATCAATCTGAAATCTACGTTTTGCCCTGAAGTCTGGATCACAACCACTTCTGTGCAGCACTATCTGAGATACACACTCTTCTATCAACTTATAATATGCTGGCCTGAAATTGAAATAAAAATATGCTTAACACACAATACTAAGTTGAAAGGAAGGAGATCTCAATATGGTAATGCACTGACTCCATGTCATATAGAAACGTTCCTCATACTGTGGTACTGCTACCTCTAGGGGTACCAAAGCAGCTTGTTCAGAGTACAACAAGTCCTCATTTTTCAGCACTCCTAATGAAAAAGTTATGTGGTGTTATTTTTAATTTGAATCAAACTCAGAATAAGCTTCTAAAAGTGACATATAAAAGTGATCACTGTTTACTTATATAGTGACAAACAACAAACTCTGTGGTTTTAGCACGCAAGTGAACTATACCAACAGAGCAACCACCACTTGTCGGCGAAGTTAGTGCCAACTTTAGCGGATAGAGGGTGCTGCATGGTCAGGGCAAAGAATCCACACAGCCATTAATTTCGGTTTTCTAGACCAGAGCTCCTATTTCCTTGAAACTGCTCAATTATCCTCATGAGGGTGAGTGGACCCTGGTCCAGACCCATTACTTTTCAGAAAATCTGGTAGCGCTGGGAATCGAACCCGGACCTCTGGATCTGTAGCCAGGAACTCTGACCACTAGAACACAGAGGCAGCCATACTTACACTGTGACAGCATTAATAAATCAAGCTGTGGATTTTCCAAATTACTTTTTCCCTGTAAGGTGCAGACAACTGTCTGTTTTAGGCAGTACCAAACACAAAATGTTCCAGAACTGCCAGTACAGGGTTTTCAAAACACTGCTGAAAATTAATGAATAACTGGGAAGTTTCCAAGTATACAATGTGAACAAGGTTTACTGGCATTATCCAAAAAATATCGCTACAGATTATATCCACAGTCAGTTCAGGTGTCATTCCATTTCCTTAAAATGAATTCTCATATTATTCTCCCATCTACATCCACATTTTCCAAGTGATATCTTCCAATGACTTTTTCAAACCACAATTTTGCTTGCATTTTTGTTTTTCTTGTGTACACTACATGCCCCTGTCAGAAACACTCCAAGATTGGAGGATGTGACAGACTGAACTGCCTCTAGATAGGACCAGATGAGAACAGACCTTTGTGATGAGGTTAACCTAATGCTCAGAGGACTAGCATAATAGGAGTCAGTTGACAAGTACAGTAAAACCTCCTCATTCATACAGGTTATATTCCTGTAAACTCATACAAATATAGGTTACCCAGTCATGCTGCTCTTTGTCCCTGGCAAATGTGATTCCAAGGGTGCTGCCGTGCTTATTATGCACTGCCTTACTCATGGCACAGCTGTCTCCTTTGAAGCCTCTAGCCTTAGGGTCTGACTAGGCCTTGTCCAATATCATGTCACCATCTGTGATGGGAATCTTCACTTCTCAGCAACTTATCCCCTCTGGATGAAGTATTCGTGAAGCCCATAAAGGGCACAATGGACCAACTGCCTGATGGTGGCAGTAAACTCCTGCAGAAACTCATCAGCTGGGTCCTAGCTTTCAGCTAGGGATGGCAAGCCCTGGCCAGATGGTGGCCCTCATAGCAGCTTTCAAGCACCTCAATGATGTCTCTGTAGGAACACTAATGCAGGATGTCAACACCCTGTCCTTGCAGGGCAATCAGTAGGTGTGTGGCTTTCTCCCAGTTCTTGTGATCAGCTATAACCTCAAACTGGTGATGAAAAAGGGCCTTCTCTGCTCTGGATAATGTGCTCCCACAACCTCCACACCATGCTCATACTTCAACTTCTGCCACCTGCATTTTGAATTCCCACCATGTAGCTTCTAACAGCATCTTTGCTGCTTGTATGCTGATCCATGTTACTTGAATCCTCATGCCAAGTTCTTCATGGAGGCTCTGAGTCCACTAATCAATGACAGACACCCTCATCACTTCTACATCCATTTCTGTCTCTTAACCTTGAATTTCAGCATCAAGGTCCGCCACCTGTTTGCCGATGGTTTCTCTGAATTCAGTCTGGGCATATCAATTGGTGCTTATCATGGTCTTCATCTTTACTTGGCCAGCCCTGAAGTTTTGCCCTCATTTCATATTGTCCACCCTTCATGGCCTTCCAGGTCCAAAATCAGATGTGGTGCAGGGTCTATTTCTCATGAATCCATAATCTGCAACAATCCAATCCAGCACTTCTGATGCCAGTTGTCTTGAGTTGGTGACCAGACACACAGTTTGGATTGATAAATAAATTTATTGGACTCTTAAATTATTCCAGCACTTTTATTATTCTTCACAATATGCCCATTACTAAAGCATATTCCATGTCTTTCTGGTCTGATGTATCTTCAGGTACTAAACAGCAGGGTCTCTCTCCGATGTTTCCAATGCTTTAAAGCTTTGGGTAAACTGCTGCTGGCCTTCACCGACACAGTAATTTTTACTTCTGAGCTCCCCAGGACTGATGACCATATTTTTTTTCTGTCTTACAACTCCAACAAAGTCATGATACTCACTCCATGACACTGTAAGGCCAGCTGGTCAGTCAGTCAGTCAGTCAGATAATTGCTGCTGGCCGTCACCACCAGTTATTCTTGGTTCCAGGTTCCACAGAACTTATGACCATATTTGCCTGTCTCATGGTTCTGACTGAGTGATGAGACTACTCCAGCACTGGTTGGTCAGGTAAAATGCTGCTGGGCCTCACCAGCACAGTCATTCTTGGTTCCAGGTCTCAAAGAACTGATAACCATATTTATCTGTCTCACAACTCCCACTGGCTCTCTTCTATGGCCTTGTCACATACCAATTACAAAACACCAGCCCCAACAGTCCTCTACAGTCATGTGCATAATTACTGTGATGGAAATGTGTTTTAACAAGGTACTGCATATCAATGGACAACTCCGTGATGCTTCCCTGATTCCAGTATTTCAGCTTTTATGCATGTCACAATACCATAGGTAAATTCAGTTTGTGTTTATTTACGTGCAAACATAACAGCACAGAGACGAATAACAAAGTTGGCACGCGTATATAGAAATACAGAAATTACTAAAAAACAAAATACAAATAAGACAGTCTATATAATTGCAATAAATTAATAATAATTAAAAAAAATAAAGTTAGCATTAACAGGTGAGAAAAATAAAATAAATGCATTTCAAATGGTTATTCCATTATGTGGTGAGAAAGGACAATACACATACATACACACACAGAAGTTAGTAATAATAATAACCCAATTAATTCTTATTTATTCGTGTGGCAGCTCAACATCCTAATTCAATTCAATTCACGTTTATTTACATGCAACTTAACAGCACAGAGGCCAATTACAGGGTTAGCATGAGTACATAGAATTACATGAAAATAATTAAAAAAACAAATACAAAATTTGAGAGTCTACATAATGACAATAGATTAATAATAATTCCAAGAAAAATTAAAGTTAACATTGACAAGAAATAATGTTAACAATAAAATAAGACCAATATATGTACATACACACACGTAATATTAAGAGTATCATTAACAAATAGTATTAACAATTTTAGTTTCATTGTCATTGACAGAAACTGTTCTAATTGCAAATATGTCGAGATCTTTACCCACTGCATTGGCAGCATAGGCGCATTGAGCAGAAGGGCAGTTTTTATTAGAGGGACAAACACCGAACAATGAGAAGTCCCTAAGATTCATCATCATCATCACTGGCACGACAGCCCTTTGTGAGCCCTGGCCTTCCTCAGGATTGCTTGCCATTCTTCTCCATTCGATGCTACATCCGTCCAGTTCTTTACACCCAAAATTCTTATGTCCTGCCATACACATTCTTCCCATCTCAATCTTGGTCTTCCCACTTTCCTATTTCCTTCTGGTTTAGTATTAAGTATTTTCTTAATCGTTCTATTCTCACTGGCATGTATTACGAGTATGTGTCCAGCCCATTCAAGCCTTTTCACCTTTATAATGTTTCGTTCATTATATAGTACATATAGCTCATGGTTATACCTCTTCCTCCATATTCCATTTTCTTCCACTGGTCCTAAGATATACAGCTGTCTCAGGATCCGGAGCATGCAGTACAACACATCCGCTCACTCCCAGCGCTCGAGCAATAATAATAATAATAATAATAATAATAATAATAATAATAATAATAATAACAATAACAATAATAATAATAATAATAATAATAATAATTACAACAACAACAACAACAATAATAATAACAACAAAAACAACAACAAAACAAACTCAGTGGTTTTAGTTCGCTTTATACCAACCAAGCGACCGCCACTTGTCAGTGAAGTTAGTGCAAACTATAGCAGATAGAGGGTGTCACACGGTCAGTGCAACAAATCCCCATGGCCATTAATTTCAGTTTTCTAGAGTGGATAACAACAACAACAACAACAACAACAATAATAATAATAATAATAATAATAATAATAATATGGTGATGGTGAAGTCAATCTGAATCCTCCAAAGAGGGTGACTAAAGAGGGTTGGGGCTGGCTGAGACATGGTTTGGGCTGAAAAATCCATGATAATAAGGTCTTAATTGCTGAGACTGAAATAAGGGAGCAGTGTGCAACTGCGGGGCTGTGTACCGAGCTACCGTATTATGACAGCAAACTTACAAATGAAGAAGTAGCGAATGAGGATGGTTTACTGTACTGCAAAGCTCCCAATACATAATTGTAAGAAGTCTCTTTCTTTCTAGCTAAATTACTTGTAGCTTTCTTCACCTTATTAGGGCATCATCTCGTATGAACAGAAGATGCTGCAGTATAGACAAGAGATATGGCTCAGCACTAGAGTCCATAACTAGGTTCTTGATAACTTCAAAACAATCGTTGATGTCATCCAATTCGAGACGAACGTTGTCAAACCTTTGTACAAATTCATAGTAGTCTTCCTCTTTGTGATCATTGAAAATCTTCACCTGGACTAACAGATCCCCACTGGCATCATTCTCCAGACCCTAAGAAGAAAAAGACTTGTCTCATCAAATTACCTTAATTGAACTAAAACTGTTTCATTTTAGTTCTATTCATGTTGATATATAAACCAATTCCATATAGAACAGTCCTTCTTTAGAAACAGAGTTACTCAGTTAAAGAAATTCCTTGCCTTTTATGAAAGCCACAGGTTCATTGCTGTGCTCACAAGAACCTACCACTAGTCTTGTATTAGCTAAAAAATTGGTCTTGTTACCTTGCTATGGTGCATAGCCGTGTTAAAGAAAGAGGGGTTGTGGTTGTGAATATACTGAATAAGTACTAACAGGCTGTCAACAAAGATGGTTCTCCAATTTGGGACTTGGGAAGGTAGCTAACAATTCACCATAAAAATAAACATGTCACACAAGGCCTCAGCAAAAAATATTACATACATCCAAAGTACTATAAAGCAGAGGTTGCAAATAATGCACAGAAAATATCCCTTCAATATAGGTGAAAGCTGTGTTATAGCATATAGGGTTAAAGGTCCATTTATGAGCAAGTTCTCATTCATAATCAGACAGAATATGAAGACAGGTCACTGCTGAATCTGTGCATTTAATTTCATAATTTTCCGCATGGTATGCAATGAAGAACATAGAAAACATGGTCCCATTACAATTCAACAAATAAGTTCGTGAACTGGACATCAACCCTTTCCAAACATCTGCTGATGTTATAGACATTACAAATGTTCCTTCATGGTCAGATGACAATACATGATAACTCCCCTCCCCAGGTTTTGACCAAATGCCACAGCAATCATTTCAGTACACACAGCAAACTTTTACCAAGCAAGTGCTGTTATCTGCTGAATACTTTAATTTCATATTTTCCCCCACAGCTAAATGTCAACCAAATGATACTGTGATCATTTCAGTACCTTTAACAAGCCTGTCCTGGTATCTCCCGATTATTTTTGTAACTTGCTTAAAAACATGCATTAAGCAAGTCAGTTGACACCAATATAGCTGAAACATTCTACCTATAGAGAGAGGGTGGTATGGCTGGAAACAGCCAACTGAAATTGCACCACATGAACAAATAGTATCCATTCTGCTCTACAGAACTTACCTCTAATACATCAATCAGTCCTGCTCTCATAATCTCATTCCTGAGATGAAGTCGGAACTCCATGTCATCTGGAGTAGCGACTATTGCATTGATGAGCTGGAGACATCCCACCTGCAAACAACAGTATACTGTAACACTATCACAGAACCATTTGCTTCCAATTAAGTGTTGCAGTAACTGTACAATCTAGGTTTAATATGAGGGTTATTCAAAGAGTAACCTCCAGCAAGTGGTTAACAAAACAAGGAACGAGAAATGAGATGGAGTTCTAAGATGACTGGTGTGGATACACTATTAAATCCCTTCATGGCAGGGATAAATTTACTCTTTACCCTTACCCTTTCCATTAAGAATTACGAGGGTCCTACTGAAAGTCATGAGCAACAGTTTTTTGTAAAGTAACATGCTTTATTATTGACAAACCAAATACACCACCTCAATCTACAGACCTGTCTTTATTTTTCCACATAATCACCACTTCTTTGTACACATTTCTCCAAGCATTCTGGGAGTTTGAAAATTCCCCTTCTCTAAAATTCTGTTCCAGCCATCCGAAGACACTGACACACTGCTTTCTGAATTGCCTCCCTTGTCCCAAAACGTTGTCCACGCAGCTGATCCTTCACAAATCTGAAAAGATGGTAGTTGGAGGGTGCCAGATCAGGGCTATAGGAGGGGTGTGGAAGAACTTCCCACCCCATCTTTGCAATTGCTTCCAATGTGAGGCGAGAGGCGTGGGGGTGAGCGTTGTCATGCAGGATGATGTTTCGTCCCAGACGTTTATTGCGCAATGCACGACGGAGCTTGTGCAGCGTCTGGACATAGCGAGCAGCATTGATGGTTTGCCCAGGTTCCAGGAATTTGGCCAAAATAAACCCCTCTGCATCCGAGAAGACTGTGCCCATCACCTTTGCAGCTGATGGCACTGTCTTTGCCTTCTTTTTTGATGGAGAATGCAAATGGTGCCATTTCATACTCTGCCGTTTCATTTCAGGCTCGAAATGGTGAACCAGCTTTCATCACCTGTCACAATACAGAGCAAAAAATCATTGCCTTTGTGTCGATATCTCTGCTACAGTTCTGAGGTGATGACTTTTCTCTGACCTTTGTGGTCTTCGGTCAATAACTGCAGGACCCAACGAGCACAAACATTCCTATAGCCCAAGCTTTCAATCATCTCCTGTACTCCACTGTGCCCTATTCCAAGTTTTCAGGCTATTGTGTCCACATCCACATGCCTGTCATCTTGAATGATGTCATCCACTCTTTCCTTGTTGCGTTCAGTTGAGGCTGTTTGAGGACAACTGCTCCGAGGCTCATCTTTGATGCTGGTGTTCCCATCTTTAAAATGTTTTACCCATCTTCAAACACTGCTCACGCCCATGCACACACTTCCATAAGCACACTGAAGTCTCTGGTGAATTTCTGCAGCAGGGATTTCCTCTTTCACAAGAAATTCAATGACAGCATGCTGGTGAAACGACATATCATTGTCGGCCATTTTGTTAGGAGTGATACTGGTCACGTGATGCAAGCTACTGACGTCACAAGACACTCAAGCTTAACATAACTGCTGGTTCCACCTACCACCTTACTCTCTTTCGTCTGCTGTTCCCAGGTTGCATGCAAAAAAAAGTTGCTCATGACTTTTGGTATGACCTACGTACTATTGAATAGTTTCACTAATCCAAAAGCTAAATGTTGATTTCAATGCCCTTTCCATGTTCATGTTTTACATTCCACATAAAACTGTTCTTATAAAAGCTTCTTGAAGCTCAATTACCATACTAAACTTCAGGACACTAAATAAAATGGAGCCTGTTTTGGTCCCATCACAGGAACTCACATGGCTGCCATATTGATATTACTGATCAAATTTCATGATAAATCATCAAATTGTTCACAAAAGATTTTACGGGGGCTAGAAAGTGGATGGTCACAACGAATATACCATAACCTTATGAATCCAGTAAAATAAGTAACATTAGGATAAAAACTAGCTATTAATTGCAGAAATTTGTAAGATAAATGACATTATACACTCCTCTCAGGCATAAAAGAAACAAAGGTATTTCACAAGAACACAGAATAAGAAAACACTATATGTATATATAATACAGCCAGAGTGAGTGACAGACTGTCATCTGAGGTTTTAATGGTGATTACTATGAAGACCACTGTCTTCTAGTGACACTGCGTAGTCTGGCAGATTGTTCCCAATGTTCCAGAGGAACTTTTGAAATAATAATAATGATGTACCAGACTATACAGCATCCCTGAAGACAGTATTCTTTGGATGAATACAGGTTCCTATATAGGGCCAACAGAATGCCCATTTAAAAGCTTATCACATGAAATGAAGGGGTTTATTTGATGGACAACAAACAGGCTCCCAGCTGGTATTGCTACTTACTATAAGAGATGGATGGCTCTTCACCATGAGACCCTGCACCACTTGCTGGAACCTCTCACGCCCTTTAATCTCTCCTGTCATGGTGATAGCTTCCAACACCCTCTCATGTCCCACTGGTGGGATGAGACAGACTGCAGCCAACACTTGGACGGCCTGCTGCATCACATTGGGCTTTGACGGATCCAGTGAACGAGCCAAGATTGTTAGAGCTTCTTTATGGTCAAACATCATCTTTATCCCATCTGTGTTGTTCATAATTGCTTTAAGGCAGCGAATACATTCTGACTGGATACGATCATATCGATTATCGCTGCCCAAAAAAACATAAACATTAAAATTAAAAATACTGTCTCGAGACAGTGACTATAAATGGGTTTGGATTGGTAATTTGATTTTTTGAACATTTGTAGAGTGTAAATACAACTACAGCACTAATGCAAATTAACACATTTCTGCAGTTCACTACAGCATGTACACAGTCTGCTCAGTCTGCTGTATCTTCACTGGTTGTTGCCTGGTAATAGCTTCAATTCTGTAGCTTTCTCAGCTCCCGTGTTCACATTCTCACCGGTCAGTGACTGTTGCAAATTGTCGACTGTCAACTCTCAATCCAACTGGACTCCATTCCAATAAATGAACTCAACTTGGTTGGTTGGGTGATACAGCCTCGAAGTGGACCTAACAGAAAACACTGTTCCTCTGTTGGTGTGGGCAGCATGGTTTCACCTGCATGGCAACACCACTTCTTGCAACTCTCCTACTGTTGCATAATGTCACCACAAACGTGACATATTCCTCTATTGCGTGTGCAATCACTTTTACACTAATAAGTTGTTTACTGCACCATAACCTAGTAACAGTTCTCTATGTGCTACAATATCAAAATCTTAGTGGGTTATGTATATGAGCAAATGTATCAAACAAGAACACCCATTCCCTCTCCTAATGCTCTGACCAGTCACTCCCCACGTACATTACTTCCTCTCCACAGCCCTCAAAGAACTGCCATAGTCCTTTCCATATGTCCTGCTTCTTCCTTTTAGGTAACTTTAATGTTACACAGGTTACAATACTTTGTGCTGGGTGCAGTGCTTTTTATAGAAAATCTTCTGCTGTAGTGAGTATAATGTGGCAAGTAAAGGCCATCATACTCTGTACCAGCAATTAAATGAAAAATTAGCATTCACGCTACACAACCTGGCCATCTGAACCACTTTAATGAAATCTTACTACATGAGTCAGGGTTGCCCTGGAGCAGATGACAGTTGTTATTCTCTGCTTCAGAAAAGAGTTTTAACAGAACTTGAAGGTTCATCACCTTAATCACAAAAAAGACCAAACCACTATCAAAGCCTCTTCTAAGTCAGTTTAATCTAGCTCACATCCTTGCAACCTACGAGTATAAGTTGATTACCCATTCTGATGCTATCTTTCTACCTGACACTTTCAGAATTTAAGACAGTAACAATGATAGGCAGAGCACATATTACCCGTACTCCCTAGTATGTAAATTTCCAGATGTAGCACTACATTTTAATTTAACCCTTTTACCCAAGGTTTCTAGTTATCACTTTCAACGCACAGGCTTATTTATATTTCCAACATCAAAAAATGAGTTTCTATGATAAATAAATGTATCCAATATTTTGCTAGACATGAATTATGAAGTAATATGATCTGACCACATCCTTCAGTACTACTGAAAAAATTAAAATGATGTTAGTTATTTGCATGAGGAAGTGCTGCAGAGATGCTGAGGGCTATCTGAACCAGCTGAACATCAGTTACTTACCAGCAGTGGCCACTGGTGAACAAAACATCCCAACAATAAGTTAGACATGGAAGAAGGGAATACACATATCTTTCATAAAGAGCATACACATAATTCATAACCTCCTATCTTCACAAATCTGAGGCTTGTTTAAAGGAAGAATAATGTCACTATTCCAACAATATAAAAGCCCTTAAAAGTTTCACAAATGGCTGATCCTTCAATATAAACCACATTAGATTCCATATAAACTTCATCAATCTCCCCTTAGAAAATTCAAGCATTGTTTTAACTTAATGACTACATATCTGAGAGATAAAGATGCAAAATAAAGTTAACAAAATTCTGAGTAAAAATTTGTCATTGCCACAAGCAGGGAGAGCTGCCACTTTTAAAACGAAACACACTGCATTAAATGTGTAAAGCTGTTCTTGGGCTTAACTAATTACGCACTATGCCATGAAGACATATGAAGGAGCAGATGTACAGATCCACATATTCCTGACCTCAGCACTAGTTGGAGGTGAGTGGTCAGCTTTGCACTCTGGCTGTTTTACCCCAGGGAAGAGTCCCTGGTATGCACTGGATAGCGGGCTGGGTGGGCCCCAGAGCAGGTTACCAAAAAAAAAAAAAATCTTTATGTGTATGCCATAATCGCCTATATAGCCATAAATGTCATGATATTGCAAAAATCTGAGAAACACACCACATGTAGGATCTATTTCCTATTTTGTTTCTTATGTTTACTTTTTTTACATGCTAACTTTCAAAGAAAAAACTAATATGGTACTCAGCATCATCTCCTTCATGCTTATTTATTACCTACTGTAAAATTAATAAATATTAAATTTACTTCAATGACTGTCAACATGCCTTTAATCATGACAAGCGCTTTTACTGACAACCACTGTTTTGACCTCACAGGACATAACCAGGCAGTATACTAACTATAAACTTTATTACTGAATTGTCATATTTTATAACTACCTTACTGAAGTATGGATCCAGTTTCACAAGGTTCAAAGTGTATTATATATGCTGAAGTTTTTATTTATAAATATGGTATATTTCTTACATAAAAATAATATGATACAAAGTTAAACTCATACACTGTCTGATAATGCAGAACAAAATGCACATATATTATGAGAATATGTGTGTGTGAGACCTGTAATTATTTATTATTTTTAGTTAACAATGGATACAGAATATGTTTTCACCCGAGTGGTCACACTGCCAAAAATGCCCGAATAAACTTTTTTTTAAAATACATAAAATAGAGTGCAATCAAAATGCTGACTACATGGTAAAGTTATGATGAGCTGAAGTAAGAGTGTTATCTTACAACGTGTATGTTGAGATGTATGATGTACTGTCATCTTGAGTTAAACATGAATTTCACATAATGGTATGTGAGATGTACGAGGGTTGGAACTTTAATAGTGGCAACACTGTTGCAGAGACACCATGCAAAAGAACCAAATAATGTCACTTATACCACACGTTACATACTGTGACATATTGCGCAGCGGAGAACTCCTCCCTACCCAGCAGCAACGTGGCAACTCAGGCCACAGTGACGTGGCGGATGAGTCAGCGCTCCCCCCCCCCTCCGCACGGTAACGTAACGCGCAACGTTACCTTACCTCAAAGAAAATGGACTCTCCCTTAACGCGCAACGTTACCTTACCTCAAAGAAAATGGACTCTCCCTTCCCACATCACGCACATGCACAGTGACGAGAAGAACAGCGCCTCGTGTTAGCTGGCGGTCTAATGTAGTGTTGTCACGATGTTTTTGAAACAGGAACAACAGAGTTGGATAAAGACTGAATGTGCCAGAGGCTGTACAGCATGACAGTGTCATCAAGGTCTTCAAGAGGCTTGCGGGGAATCTGCATTGCCTTACAGAACAGTGGAAAGGTGGGTAAAAGCCTTCAACGAGGGACACCAAAATGTGGCAGACATGCCTCGGCCAGGTTGTCCTAGTGTCAGTGAAGAAGTTTCCGTGTTACTGGAGAGTGATCGACACCATACGATTTGTGAGCTGGATGAGACATGGGCCAAATCATACGAGCCACCAATGAAACGCCAATCAAACGAATGGCGTCATTACGGGTGACCACTAAAATCAAAAGTTCATCAGAACCCCAGCAATGTGAAAGTTATGGTGATTCTTGTGTACGACTGTGATGGTGTTATCCTAACGCATACCGCTTCCCGACAGCAGACTGTCAATGCGCAGTATTACTGTTCATTCTTGGAACACAACCTGCAACACTTTCTGCTGAACCCACCCATCACATTGTAGGACAATGCTCAGCCGCATGCAGGGCAAGCTGTGGCTGATTTGTTTGATTGATGGGGCTGGGAAGTGCTGTATCATCCACCATACTCCCCGGACTTCAGCCCTTCTGACTTTGACTTGATTCCTAAGACGAAAGAATCACTTCAGAACTGTTCCAGAGATTCTTCAGGCAGTAGACCACTCCATTCGAACTATCAACACAACAGGCACTGCTAAAGGTATCCTACGACTTCCACATCGCTGGCAACGGGTTGTACACAATGCTGGGGACTACACTGAAGGACAATAAAACTTCGAAACATGCATCTATTTTGTATCAGCTGTAAATAAATAGTTGCGACTATTAAAGTTCCAACCCTCATATTTATGCAGTGTTGGTTTTATTCCAGAGTCAAACATTCAGCAACTCAACAAAACTTTACCAACTATTCAACTCTGTTACTTTACTTTATTTTATGCATTTAACAACATGAGTATTCGTGAATTTTTAACATGACTCCTCAAACAAAAACATATTATATATTCATATTAAACTAAAAATGAAAGAAGAGTAGGTCACACTCACAATTATCTTCATAACATATGTGCATTTTATTTTATATTATCAACCAAAGTATGAACTTTGATTTTCATGACACTGTTTTATTTGGGAAGTATTTACAACATATATTACCAAAGCTTCAGCGTACAGAATACAGCGTGAAAACTGGATTCATATTTCAATAAGGTGGTTATAAAGAGTAATAAGATAACTCAGTAATGAAATTTCTAGTCAGTGTACCACTTGATAGCTTGTGAGGTGGTTTTCAATAAAAACACAAGTCATCACTGAAGTTGTGTCAACTGTTATTAAAGCAAATTTTACACTCTTTAATTTTGTAATTACTATGCACAGCAGGATACAGAATTTAAAGTTTACTTATTAACCGCTTTTAATTTAATGGGGCATGAAAACATTCCTTGAACATCCTGTATGACGGACATTTCACCATTCCTGTAATATCCAAGTTCTCAAAACAAAGAAGCCTCCTATGACTAGAGGAAAGAATTCTCCTAACAGAATTATTCTTGGGAGATTAAATATTTTATTATTACCATATTTTATTGATCTTCTGATATTCTGAATGAGTATAACAATGATATGCTGTTGATGTAATTGTACTGTTATATCATACATCTCCTGAGGATTTGTTGCAGTAGTGGAAGCAAATAAAACAACTGTTTCATCCAGTTACTTCAATAGGGTACTGAAACCACATGGCTCTTAGTTTCTGGAGAACACAGACACATACACATAAAGCATCAGACATCTTACCTTTGAGTAAATAATTGCATTTTTGGCTATCCAATAAAATGACAGAAATTAAGTAAAGTACATATGTACATCTTCACAATCAGTTGACTGTTTTCTGCACACTTCCAGAATATATATGTCAAGGAATGTGTAAAACAGTCACAATATAATCTCTAGGATATTCACTTGGTCCAAAAAGAGGGAGTGACCCAACTGCCTGATTCAGTAACAATTAGACTACCACAAAATGATGCCAAAATTCAAAAATTAAAATATAAGTACCATCGCTTCAGACATTTAATTTCTGTGTTAGGTATGACTGAATGAGTGAAAGTCAATACTAAAATCAATTCAATACACTTAATCTCACACACCTCAAAACACAGAGGAATAAGAGGGAAAAAATATAACAAAACTGTCCCTTCTTCAAATTTCCAAATCTGCAATTTGATAGCATACTTACTTCCTATAGCATTCATTGAGTATAGACAGAACCTGTTTCAAGCCCTTTGTGCCAAATTCTTGAACCCAGCTGAGAGGATTGTTGGTAAGTGCTATCCTTAATGACTCTACACAACCATACAGTTTGTTGACACTGAGATCAGGTGTGCTCAAGTACTGGATGTAGTCTGCAGGTTTTGAGAATTTACTGCAGTTATCCTGTAATGAGACACAGTGTTCAATAACTCATTTTACTACAATGGCACGCTTAAAATTAAATTAATTTAAAATACTTAATAATATTAAAATAATAGTAAGTAGTACCTGTGCTGATGAACCTTTATAATGGTTGATAAGCATCATCTTCTTGTTCATTGTGGGTTGAAGTCTCAGTGGTTCTTTCTTTTCTTCTGACAGGTTCATGTCATTCTACAAAAGACAGAAATAAATGGTCATAATACAATCAGGTAGTCTTCACATTTAACATCCATTATTTATCGTCCATCAATATTGCAACACTCTTCCATTCACCGCTCAATTTTTAGTTTAACATTATACACCCTGACACTACATGTTTCAGCCCCAAACGGCCATCTTCAGGTGTCTTGATACGTTACAATTATTTTATTAAATTGTGTTAAAACTGCACCAAAATAATGTGGGTATAATAGAAATTATGAGGGATTTTATCTGGTTTTACCTCAAAAAGAGGAGTACAGTGTGTGATTTTAACATGAACTAAGACAGTGTAGCAGTTTTAACACAATTTAATAAAATAATTGTAACATATCAAGACACATGAAGATGGCCGTTTGGGGCCGAGACATATAGCGTCAAGGTGTATAATGTTAAACTAAAAATTGAGCGGTGTATGGAAGAGTGTTGCAATATTGACGCACGATAAATAACAATTGCAACGGGATGTTGAAATACAGAATCATAAATAGTCTTCACATGTACTGCACAAGGTGTATGGTACAGCGTATATGAAGAGCCAGAGAATGTACATGATAATATGTACATGTACACAAAATTTGATCAAAAACACTTCTGTAAAGTTTTGGAAACCTCCAAGATAGTATCATCAGTTGGTATTACCGTGCTTCTAGACTCTGCCCATCATGCAGTATTCTCTACAGAGCACAACTTCTGGAAACTGCATCCGTGTCCAACCTCAGGTGAAAAGGAGGGGAGATACCCACTTAAATGGGTTTGTTTGAAACAGAAAGTATTCATCACTGGATATCATGTGAGGCTGGTTTGCAAAACACGGCATTCTGCTTGGAATACTAGACAACAGCAAAAACCAGAAAAGCAATAATACCAATTATTACATGCTATCACCAGAACTCATTAGAACTGAAGAGTCAACAGGTACTATTTACCTAGGGCTGGATTTCTGGCTTCAAATAATATATCCATTCAGCACAGACAGACAGACAGACAGACCCAAACAACCCTACAAGGATTCTGTCTCTCACAAAGGGATATGTTCTGCATCCCCATTGCAATCTCTGCCTTATGGCACTCTCAAGTGCCTAGTTATTTAAAATGTGAAAAAACTTACACCAGACGATAAATGAAAGTAAAGGTCATCAATTTCAATACCCAGTGACTACCAACCTCATCAAAATGCTTCTAATACAGATAACGTTCTTGAGAATCCAATGTTAGACACAAGTGCCAGACAAAGTTAAAATCGAATTAAAAATTTTATCGTCTATGATGATATATCATGGAGCAGAGGGGTATTCAGAGAATCTGCGCTGTTTTAATTATGTGCACATGTTGCGTTGCAGTTTTCTGCATGTAAGTGGTGTATGTTCTATTTCCTTTTTTGATGTCATGAGTGACGGTGGTGAAGTTTTTGTGTACAACATACACAAGGTCTCAAAACTTATAAAATCTGACACACACACGGCATGACAAAGACAGAGATATGCAAAGGAAACCCTGGTGTTAAAAATGGCAACATAACAGTACAGAGTGCAAGAGACTGCATGTTCAATTCCCAGTCTCGATGATGATTTTTCTATTTTAGTGAAGAGAAACGGTCTTTTTTGTTTTGGGCGAACCACCACATATGCCTTGAAACATATCCATAATTGCTATATAATTCATAATACAAACCAGCATTTCCTCAAATTTTTCATTCAGAAATGTTTCATCAGCATCAAGTTGCTCTACAAAGAACTCCTGTTCTGCCACTTCATTGAAGTCTGACTCCGAGTGTGGCCGGGGGAGCTGGCCACCACTCCCCCGGCCCTTCTCTTTCTTTTTGGTTCCAAACCATGTGTCCAACTGCAACAATACAACAAGATTTAGAACACTGTGAGTAAAATAAATATGTATGCAAGTACATTTATTGCATATATTCAACACTTAAAACAATGATGTATCATTAATGTTAAATCATTTATGGGCACATTCATACCAGGGGTTTAACTAGTTGGGGTCTTCACCATTTCGGAACCAACAGAAATTATATTTTTAACAAAACTAAGCACAAAAGAATGATCTGGCAAATGAAAAAAATTCATTAAACCTATGTGATAATTTCACTTGAATTTTCAAAACACCCCCTAAAACTAAACTCCAACAATGTATTTGATTTGTTTCATTCTGGTCCGTCACACTATTAAGTCTACAATTAAGTTTATTTCAGTCCAATGTGACATATAATGCTTTCAGCACTTCAGCACTTTCGATTCTTAATGAATCATCACCGGAGGTATACCACTACGATCAAGTACCCACCAATACGTAAATGTTTTTATAAGACTATATACACTTAAAACATTCATGATGCTCACTATATGTAGTTCTTCATTTTTCCATTGTTGAAATAGATGTTTGATGTAAACTTCTATAATAAGAACATTCTTGAAGTATATTACTTAGAAGTGACATAGGTGCAATCACTTTCATAAAGGATAGTTTAAAAATGTAATTTTCCACTGCACTGTATATAAAATTCAACTTGTTTTACCTTTACGTTAAAATTATGTTATGAATGTGTGTAAAATCTTATTTTTAAGTTAAGAAATTTGTTCATGAACCAATATGGATCATGTTTTATCCTCCTTGGTAGTGGAATTGTCATCTATCCCTTTTGGTGATGTGTTCTATAAATAAATTATTAATTTTTGATTATGTTATATAAGTATTCATATATGTATTAGGTGTATAGCCGGTCATGGTAGCCGAGCGGTCTAAGGCATGCACTGTCTTCACTCAATCGGAAAGCCGGGATCGTGGGTTCGAATCCCACTCAGGGCATGGATGTTTGTGTGCGTTTTTCTGTGTTTGTCTACAGGTAGAGGCCTTGAAATGAGCTGATCACTCGCCCAAGGAGTCCAACCGCATGTGTAAGTCTAGAAAAACCGAAGTGAACGGAGAAGTTCGTGGAGGTAGGCCTAGGCCCACTGGGGCTGTAGTGCCAAGGGGGGAAAAAAATTAGGTGTATAAATTAATAAAGTTTTTAGATAAGTCTTACCTTGTTATTACTGGTGTAGTTTATATGTGTCCTGTGTTACTTGTACTGTTTTGAAGATTGCCTGTGTCATGTAGTTTATACTTCTTGTGTTTGTGACCTTGATGTGGGTGTGTTCTGGTGTTGAATTATAAGGTCAAACATGTTTTATTGGTTATTAGTTTCTTTTATTTGTTTCTGTTCATCTATCAGTTTATTGTGTTTGTTATAGTAATATATTTGGAATTCTTCTTTTATGCTCATTATGTTACCCTTTTTAGCATTTTCAAGGATTTCCATGATTGTTGTTATTGGTCCGTATTGGTGACGTCTGTTTAATATGTGTTGGGTGAAAGCTGATTCATCTTTGTTTAATCTTATATTTCTTATGTGTTCATTGTATCGTGTTGATGGTTTCCTTCCCGTTTGGCCTATGTATACCTGTTGGCAACTTTGCCACGTTAGTTTGTATATTCCACTTTGCTCATATGGGTTAATGTTTTGTTTTTCGTGTATGTTAGGTAACTAATTGCTGAAGTGGTGAAAGGATTATATGTCATATTGGACTGAAATAAACTTAACTGTAAAGTCCAACAATGTGTCTGCATTAACTTGTTTCCTGTCTGGTCTGCCATGACTGAGAATTTTATAATCCAACTTTACTAGCAGTTTCATGAAGTAACTATTTTGAGAGAATGTTGGAATTTTTACATTTTAGATAGAAATTAAGTATATATCTCAGAATTAAAACCGCTTATGACAATTGTAAACACATAAAACCCTAAGAAGAAAAACAATCTGCAACCGGATTCCACTCTTCACATGTTCACAGACTGGAAATGCCTGGATGTAATTACGTGTTTTGGTACAGCAGCAGGCATGTTTTGCTTTCAGCTATAAAAATAAAGTACACTCCTCTGTGCACTAATCCATCAGAGTGCCAAACTATTTATGAGTCACAAAGGCACAAAGCCCTATAAAAAGGGTCTAATAGTATTCATTACACGTTCACAGAGTGAAGAGACAATAGTTGGGGAAAAATATGAAGTGTAAAATAAAGCAAACAATGAATTTTGTCTGGTATGTGGAAATAGGGCAGACTTGCAACACAGTATAAATATATAACTGCAAATTCAGAAGTACTGCATAATAATATATTTGTATTCAGTTTCTTTTGCACTAAGAGAGTTTCCATGATACTGTGTTTTGTTGGTGTATTTAAAAAAGGGCTGATGCACCCTTTAGAACACAGAGTCAAATCAGCTTTTTTTTTTATAAAAGCGTAAGTGCATGACATTTAACAGATGCTACAGTACACCATCTAAGGAGATCGAAACAATGTGCAAGAGATGGGAATTTTGTGTGGTATGGAAGATTTCAAGGAAGGAAGGAAGGAAGGAAACATTTCAAAACTAACTTAAACCTGTCATCTACTTCAAAAACTAATTTTAACATGGAAAAAGGGACTCAAATGATAATATATGACTGTGAAGTGAATGTTCAAGGCTTAGTACACATAATAATTTAATGTAAATACAGAAACTATTCTAATGATTTAGACTTGAAAAGCTGGTATCATTTCAAATCTACTGAAGACAACAGTGCTTAAAAGACTGCACAGCTCCACAGCTATGCTTTTGGCACTATAACAATGGCACTATGGATGCACAGTGTCAATATGATAGCTTGGAAAGTGATCACACCAAAATAACAGGTAGTGATAAAAAATAAATACGTTTCACAGAATAATCAGCTTAATTACTTTTTTATCACACCCTGTAAATTCAGTTAGGATATGTTTCTAATATGACTACTGTTGAAGGCAGGAGGAAATACAGGAGACTGAGGAATGAATTGAAAAGAGCCACGGACAGGGCCAAAAAGGAATATCTTGAGAAGATATGTAATGAGATTATGGAATTTCAAAGAACAGGCCGTTATGATTTGATGTACATGAAGACAAAAGAACTAGGATGGAAAGAGAATCATGGGATTCAAAATGTTGGCATCGAAGACTCCCAGGGGAATAGAATAGTAGATCAGAGG